ACATTTACTGGATTATGGACTTTGTGGTGGTCACATTTACTGGATTATGGACATTGCAGTGCTCACACTTACTGGGTTATGGACCTTGTAGTGGTCACACTTACTGGACGAAGGCCCTTGTGGTGGTCACACTTCCTGGATTATCGACATTGCGGTGGTCACACTTACTGGATTATGGACATTGAAGTGGTCACACCTACTGGATTATGGATCTTGCGGTGGTCATCCTTACTGGACTATGGACCTTGCTGTGGTCACATTTGCTGGACTAAGGACCTTGCAGTGGTCACACATACTGGACTACGGGCCTTGCAGTGGTCACACTTACTGAAATATGGACCTTGCAGGGGTCACAGTTACTGGACTATGGACCTTGCTGTTGTCACACTTACTGATCTATGGACATTGCAGTGGTCACACTTACTGGACTATGGACATTGCAGTGGTCACACTTACTGGACTATGGACCTTGCAGTCTTCACACTTACTGGAATATGGACCTTGCAGTGATCATAATTACTGCGCGGGGCCCACTTACCACGCTATAGACTTTGTGATGGTCACACTGGATTATGGACCTTGCGGTGGTCAGACTTACTGGATTGTGGTCCTTGCGGTGGTCACACTTCCTGGATTATGGTCCTTGCGGTGGTCACACTTACTGGACTATGGACGTTGCGGTGGATACATTTACTGGATTATGGACCTTGCTGTGGTCACACTTACTGGACTATGGACTTTGCACTGGACATACTTACTGGACTATGGACCTTGCAGTGGTCACACTTACTGGATTATGGACCTTGGGGTGATCACACTTACTAGATTTTGACACTGCAGTGGTCACAGTTACTGGACTATAGACCTTGCAGTGGTCACACTTACTGCACTGTGGACCTTGTAGTGGTCACACTTACTGGACTAAGGACCTTACGGGGGTCACACTTACTGGATTATGGACGTTGCAGTGGTCACAGTTCCTGGACTATGGACCTTGCTGTGGTCACACTTACTGTACTATGGATCTTGCAGTGGTCACACTTACTGCACTATGGACCTTGCTGTGCCCACTTACTGTACTATGGATCTTGCAGTGGTCACACTTACTGGACTATGGATCTTGCGGTGGTCACAATTACTGGACTATGGACCTTGCAGTTGTCACACTTACTGGACTATGGACACAGCAGTGGTCAGGCTTACTGGATTATGGACCTTGTAGTGGTCACACTTACTGGACTATGGACCTTGTGGGGGTCACACTTAATGGACTATGGATGTTGCAGTCTTCACACTTACTGGACTATGGACATTGCAGTGATCACAATTACTGGGTTACGAACCTTGCATTGGTCACACTTACTGGAATATGGACCTTGCGGTGTCACACTTACTGTACTATGGCCCTTGCAGTGGTCACACTTACTGGACTATGGACCTTGCATTGGTCACAATTACTGGACTATGGACCTGGCAGTTGTCACACTTACTGGACTACGGACCTTTCAGAAGTCAAACTTACTGGACTATGGACATTGGAGGGGTAACACTTGCTGGAATATGGACCTTGCGGTTGTCACACTTACTGGACTATGGACTTTGCGGTGGGCACACTTACTGATCTATGGACATTACAGTGGTCACACTTACTGGACTATGGACATTGCAGTGGTCACACTTACTAGACTATTGACCTTGCGGTGGCCACACTTACAGTATTATGAGCTTTGCGGGGGGCAAACTTACCGCACTATGGACTTTGTGGTGGTCACACTGGATTATGGACCTTGCAGTGGTCAGACTTACTGGATTATGGACCTTGTGGTGGTCACACTTACTGGACTATGGACCTTCCGGTGGACACATTCACTGGACTATGGACCTTGCTGTGGTCACACTTAATGGACTATGGACTTGCATTGGACACACTTACTGGACTATGGACCTTGTAGTGGTCACACTTACTGTATTAGGGACCTTGGGGTGGTCACACTTACTAGATTTGGACACTGCAGTGGTCACAGTTACTGGACTATTGACCTTGCAGTGGTCACACTTACTGGACTAAGGACCTTATGGTGGTCACACTTACTGGATTATGGACCTTGTAGTGATCACACTTACTGGACTATGGACTTTGCGGTTGGCACACTTACTGGATTATGGACATTGCGGTGGTCACACTTACTGGACTATGGACCTTGCGGTGGTCACACTTACGGGACTATGGACCTTGTGGTGGTCACACTTACTGGAATATTGACCTTGTAGAGGTCACACTTACTGAACTATGGACATTGTAGGGGTCACATTTGCTGGAATATGGACCTTGCAGTGGTCACACTCACTGGACTATGTACTTTGCGGTGGGCACACTTACCACACTATGGACCTGGCGCTGGTCACATTTACTGGACTATGGACCTTGCGGTGGTCACACTTAGCGCACTATGGACCTTGCTGTGGTCATAGTTATAGGACTATGGACCTTGCATTGGTCACACTTACTGGATTATGGACCTTGTAGTAGTCACACTTACTGGAATATGGACTTTGCGGTGGGCACACTTACTGGATTATGGACTTTGTGGTGGTCACATTTACTGGATTATGGACATTGCGGTGGTCACACTTACCGCACTATGGACCTTGCTGTGGTCACAGTTACAGGACTATGGACCTTGTATTGGTCACACTCACTGGATTATGGACCTTGTACTGGTCACACTTACTGGACTATGGACTTTGCGGAGGGCCCAATTACCGCACTATGGACTTTGCGGTGGTCACACTTACTGGATTATGAACTTTGCGGTGGTCACACTTACTGGATTATGAACTTGGCGGTGGTCACATTTACTGGATTATGGACATTGCGGTGGTTACACTTACTGGATTATGAATCTTGTAGTCGTCACACTTACTGGACTAAGGACCTTGCAGTGGTTACACATACTGGACTACGGGCCTTGCAGTGGTCACACTAACTGGACTAAGGACCTTGCAGTGGTCACACGTACTGGACTACGGGCCTTGCAGTGGTCACACTTACAGGATTATGGACTTTGCGGGGGGCACACTTACTGCACTATAGACTTTGTGATGGTCAAAGTGGATTATGGACCTTGTGGTGGTCAGACTTACTGGATTATGGACCTTGCGGTGGTCACACATCCTGGATTATGGACCTTGCAGTGGTCACACTTACTGGACTATGGACCTTGCGGTGGACACATTTACTGGACTATGGACCTTGCTGTGGTCACAGTTACTGGACTATGTTCTTTGCGGTTGGCACACTTACTGGATTATGGACTTTGTGGTGGTCACATTTACTGGATTATGGACATTGCAGTGCTCACACTTACTGGATTATGGACCTTGTAGTGGTCACACTTACAGGATGAAGGTCCTTGTGGTGGTCACACTTACTGGATAATGGACACTGCGGTGGTCACACTTACTGGACTATGGACATTGCGGTGGTCACACTTACTGGACTATGGACATTGCGGTGGTCACATTTACTGGACTATGGGCCTTGCGGTGGTCACACTTACCACACTGTGGACCTTGTAAAAGTCACACTGACTCAAGTATGGACCTTGCAGTGGTCACACTTACTGGACTATGGACCTTGCAGTGGTGACACTTATGGCACTATGGATCTTAGAAAAGTCACATTGACTCGAGTATGGACCTTGTAGTGGTCACACTTACCGGACTATGGACCTTGAAGTGGTCACACTTACTGGACTATGGACCTTACAGTGGTCACACTTACTGGACTATGGACACAGCAGTGGTCAGGCTTCCTGGATTATGGACCTTGTAGTGGTTACACTTACTGGACTGTGGACCTTGTGGGGGTCACAATTAATGGACTATGGACCTTGCAGTCTTCACACTTACTGGACTATGGACCTTGCAGTGATCAAAATTACTGGATTACGGACCTTCCAGTGGTCACCCTTACTGGAATATGGACCTTGCGGTGTCACACTTACTGTACTATGGATCTTGCAGTGATCACACTTACTGGACTATGGATCTTGTGGTGTCACACTTACTGGACTATGGACCTTGCGGTGGACACACTTACTGGCTATGGACCTTGCAGTGGTCACACTTACTGGACTATGGACTTTACGGGGGGCACACTTACTGGATTATGGACCTTGCGGTGGTCAGACTTACTGGATTATGGACATTGCAGTGGTCACAGTTACTGGAATATGGACCTTGCAATGGTCACACTTACTGGATAATGGACCTTGCAGTGGTCACTCTTACTGGATTATGGACCTAGTGTTGATCACATTTTTGGACTATGGACCTTGCAGTGGTCACACTTACCACACTATGGACCTTGCTGTGGTCACACTTACTGGACTACTGACCTTGCTGTGGTCACACTTACGGGACTATGGGCCTTGTATTGGTCACTTTTACTGGAGTACGGACCTTGCAGTGGTCACCCTTACTGCACTCTGACATATCGGTGGTCACAGTTACTGGATCATGGCCCTTGCAGTGGTCACACTTACTGAACTACGGACCTTGCAGTGGTCACCCTTACTGCACTCTGATATTGCAGTGGTCACACTTACTGGACTATGGACCTTGCGGTGGTCACGCTTACTGGACTATGGACCTTGCTTTGGTCACACTTATGGAACTATGGGCCTTGTAGTGGTCACGTTTATTGGACTACGGACCTTGCAGTGGTCACACTTACTGGACTATGGACCTTGCAGTGGTCACACTTACTGCTCTATGAACCTTGCTGTGGTCACACTTACTGGACTATGGACATTGCGGTGGTCACACTTACTGCTCTATGGACCTTGTTGTGGTCACACTTACTGGACTATGGACCTTGCAGTGGTCACACTTACTGCTCTATGGACCTTGCTGTGGTCACACTTACTGGACTGTGGACGTTGCAGTAGTCATAATTACAGGACCTACAGCTCTGGTTCTCTCCCCACCATGCCCACCTGCGTTCCTTCATATGCTTTATTAAGCTCCTCTGATATTTTTCTGCTCTTTGTTTTTGACAAACTGTCAGTTGTTTCTCTCTTAATTCAGCCAGGTTTTTTTTCATCCTGTCCGCTTTCAAAATTCCTCTGAGCATATGTGTGCGCTCGTTGTTCATGGTCTGAACTAAGAAGTGCTCTTCCACATTCATTTTTTTCTCAGCTAGAATCATAGCTCTGCGTGCTCTCAGTCTTTCAAGGTAGCTGTGTTTCTCTCTCCACATTTGCCGTAATGCTCTCGCTGCTCTCTCATTATCTTTTTCCATTAGTTCTTGTGCCGTATATTTTTTCCTACTTAAACTTTCATTGATGTTTAGCCTGGTTCTTTCCTTAGCAATCTGTGCCTTGACTACAGCTGTCTTTTTTCCCTTATCCTCTTCCTGACAGTGTGTTTCTACGTAGTATTTATCAATGTCATTAAGTGGTAGGAGTTTCATACCAGCTCTCTGTCTTGCTAAAAACTCTCTTCTTCTGTTCATCTCCTGTAGTGTCTCTCTTTTGTTTATTGGTTTGGTACAAGAGGGCAGAAGTGGCTGGAGATTTTCATGTATATAATCTTGTTTCAATTCTTTCAACATTGTACCATATTTCAGTGAACTTGGAGAATATATAGGGAGTCTGAATGCTGATGTCCTGAAGCTGATATCCAACCCGTCACCCTCTGTTTCATTTCTAGACCCCTTCTGGCCTGTGTCAGAAAATACAGACATACGCCGTAAGAGCTAAGAATGTTTTCTGTCCACATTACTTTGAAAGTGACATAAACAAAGTGGGGAAGAACTTCTTTTAAGTTCAAGTTTTTTCCCAAATTCCATTCAACTTGTGGTATTGGACAGAAAGCTCACTATTAAAGCATTATCAAATGGAAACCTGATATCTACCATCTCTTGCATTATTTCTCACAGTTACTTAACACACTCCTCAAGAGTATCACTCTGTCTTGATTCCCTACTTAGACTTACACACTTTAAAAAAATAGTTTATATTTAAAAATAATTTTTTAAAAAATAGTTTGTTAAAGGAACAGCTTCAGGTAAATTGAACTGAACAGAGTTAAATTGAGCAAAAGCATTCTGAATCAGGCAGCACCTGGAACCAGTGAAAACTGGTACAGGCTGTCCTATTCCACAAGTAGATGTTTGTAACAGAAATCAGTGGAATGTAAAGAAGTCACATAATTAGTTGCAGCTCAGTGTTAGCCACATTTACATGTAGTCTGCAATTGATGTAGCTCAGTTTCTGTGATTAGCTGTGACTTAGCCCTTTGTTTCAAAATAATATGCCTAAGGTAGGCTTTCTTTGTATACATATGGCTATATCCCTGTATGTATACAAGTGCACCCATGTATGCAATGCCCACAGAGGCCAGAAAAAGGCATCAGAACCCCTAGAACTGGGGTTACAGCTGGTTTCTAGCCACTATGTGGGTGCTGGGAACTGAACCCAGGTCTTCTGCAAGAGCAGCCAGTGCTGTTAACTGCCGAGCCATCTCTCCAGCCCCGTGTATTAGGTGTTTATGTTAAGCTGTAGTTTGTTGAATGAGCAATCAGGTAGTTTCAGGCCAAATGTAATTTAACAAGCTACTTTTATCCTACTTTATCCTGCAGTCATCAATGGTGTGGTAATTTGTCTTATTTTTATTAACTCTATCAGAAACTAGTATCTACCATCAAAATGCTTTTTCCTGATTTTGGAAAGACAGTTAAACCACTCGGCCTCCTTTGCTATGGTGAGTCAAGGTGAAGCGGAGCCCTTCTAAGACTGAAAAAGTACATTTGTTTGGTTTTGTTTTCTTATCCAAGACTTTTAAAGAAAAGCATGACTCCTCTGTATTTTCTTTCTTTCTTTTTCCTTCTGATCATTGCACAGACATGAAGACACAACCACAAGATGGGGGACCCTCAGGTCCCAGAACCACAGGCTGGAACATTAGCCACACCAGGTCTATCCAGTTGGGACTATCATGGAGCCCAAATACATGAGAGTTATTCATAAGACAAGATGCATGTCTGGATGGTTTTGCTATTACAACCAGCCTGACTGGTACCATAACCAATCATAGTGTTGTTTACATGTCTGCTCTTTACAAACGTACCAATGAATTCAAATCAGGAGATAAACGCAAGTACAAAAGATCTGCTTATTAACCTCAGGAAACAAATGTTTCCTGCATTTGACTGGTTTCCTCTGCTGATGAACACATCTCAGCTCCTCAAACTGCTAAGGATTTTTATCATCTCCATTACAAAATTTCTTAAATGTTTTTAGGCCAAAATGCCGAAGCTGATGTCTGTGGTTTTATGGGAGGGAAACTGGCCACCAAGAACAGGGTATCTGATGTGAACAGGCAGTGGAGAGAAGAGAACTGACAAACGCCAAAAGATTATCCACATGAGAACAGCAGACAACATCCATCATTGAAAAAGAAATTCCAGGTACCAGTTGAAATGGTAACACAGGAGAAATCAAAGGCAAAGTGTTCAAAGGTGAAAAAAATCCAAGATCAAAGCAAGAGCCTGGAAATCAGGGTAGACAAAGCTAGAATCCCACTGGCCCTTTTATCTCTAATTCTGCTAACAGCAGCTCTCTGCCCCAAGAATCAGTCACTGCTCTGGTCCTTATCTTCCTACTGTGGGATTCTTATCTTGTCATGCTCTAAGTACAAAGGAAAACAAAATGTCCAGGTTCCCCCATTGGCAAGATGAAGGATTCTGTTAAAAGGAAGCTGGGGGTCATGTGCATGGCAAAGGAGGTGCAGTTTCTCTCCTGGGGTACACACCACATCTTCCCCTCACTGGGCCCTTGGGGTTATTTTACGTTTTGTTCAGAGTGCTGTTCTTTCTATTTATATCTGTTCAGATTCTTTCCTTTCTTAAAGCCTTCTCATGCATCTTTCTAGAATCTACAAATGAGAACTGATTTTCTTGAACTCGAATGTCAGTTTCTCCCTTGTGTAATTTTTGGCTACCTACTGCTATTGTCACAGCAGGAAGTAGACCAAGCGTTCCTTGGTGGGAAGGAGGTGACTGCACCTGACCCCATCCCACTGTTCTATATACACAGCTTATGGAGTGATCAGCTCAATACTCCATGTTCAACAAGTATATTTTTGAATGGAGGAATAGACAAATAGAAAACCAAATCAATCGTCAAGAGTAATATCACTTATTCACACCATGAATCTTGAGTCAACCAAGTTCCATAGATTTGAATCTGATTTTGAGCATTATGCCAGCTAAGAAAGTTATTTGATTTCCTGGTTCTCAGATTCTCCACTTTTAGTATTAAAGATGGGTTATTCATATGCTAATTTCTTTATTCCTGTTCATTTAAACCTGGGGGCTATTTATATGTTCCTGTTCGAAAAGTATTCATGGCATTTGCATAATTTTTTCAAGGAATTATTTGGTTTTGTGTTACTGAATTATATGAGTTTCTTATGTATTTACTATAGTAACCCTTTACCCTATATGTGAGTTATAAAAACTTTCTCCTAGCCCATAAGCTGTCTTTTCATTTTGTCGATTATTCTTTTCCTGTGCAGGAAATATTTGATTTGATGTAGTCTTGTTTATTTTTGCTTTTGTTACCTGTATTTAAGTATATAAAAAATAAATCATTAGTAAGATCCATGTCAAAATCATGCCTCTGGGTTTTCTCTACAATTTCTCTACAATTTGAGTTTTAGGCTTTAAGTTCCTAATCAACCGTGAATTGATTCATGTGCGTGTCATTAAGTAAGAGTCTATATTTTTTCTTTGGAATACAGACATCCAGTTTTCCCAGCATCATTTATTGGAAGCTGTGTCCCTTCTTCACCACTCCTTTGTGGTGCCTGATACTGGTTGATACATGTGGTTTATTTATTGCATTGTGTCTGTTTTGGTGACAATAGAGTTTTAAGAATTCGAGTTATTTTTCCAAATGCAATACTTTTTCTTAAAGTCAGTTTGTATTTTATAACTAGAGTCTAACGTTCTCCAGAGCATATAGGTATGAAACAGGTATCAGAAAGCTAAATAGCAAATAAAACATTTAGGGACAGATTTAAATAATGAGATAACATATCTCAGCCAAGAAGATGATAAACAGTACTGAAAGCACTAACATATCTGGTGTTACATATCTTTCTAGTACAGATCTCTCTGACAAATCTCATCAGCTGATTTTTCTCCTGGCTTTCTGCTCTGTCTTACCTGTGTGTGAACACTGCTAAGGGCATGAAGAAGTCTCCTAGGTCCTGCTGAGAATGGTTACTGCTAGGACAGTGACTATGTTAGATGATAAAGTTGCTAAGGGGTTTTCAAATGGACATAATTACAGGTCCAAGTGAATAAGAGTTTGTGGAGCTTCCTCTAAGTTACATACAAGTCAAAAGCGATGATTAATACACCACTGTGCACAAGTGTCAGAGTATGTGATAGAGATCGGTGATCCCAGGTCCCCTTTTATCTGGAGGGACTCAATGCTAAATAAAATGTTTCAATAATACTTTATTACAACTTAGAATTGTATTTTAATTGGATGAATTGGCATGAATTTACTGCAAGTTAAATGGAGCAGGGTCAGCTGTCCATACCCATGGAGCGAGCAGTGGTATTTGTGCCTAAACTTGGGTATGAAGGGCATTGACATGAAATAATACCAACTCTAGTGTTACCATGCCGAGAGGAGGAGGATGCAAAGGTATTCACTTGGTGTCGTTCTGCATGTCTGACCCAGGCTGAGTGTAGGAACATGCCTAGAAGAACAATGACATGTATTTTCCAACACTGCTTGACACTGCTACCGAAATAGACTTTTATCCACCTTGCCAAGTCACAGGAAAACTGACTCAGATAATTCTACTTAACACTCTTCTTTCATGTAGTATATTTTAATTTAGAGAAAAAAGAATTGTCATTTGAAATGTAGGATTAGAAACAACAACTACTTCACCACTGACAAACAGTAATCCTGACATTGCATAAGAACCAGATGTTAAAGTAATTTCCAGCTGCGCACACAGAGCTCAAAGAGCACAAGAAGCCAGAATGCTGTGGTGGAGAGCTGGGCATAGTCAGAGGTGTCTGAAATTCTTAGTATTCTGGAAGTCTTCTAACACTCTCCATAAAATTAATGATTCTTATTGCCTTCCCGCTCAATAAAGATCTGAACAGACCATGACTGATGAGCAAATAGCAGGAAACAGAGAACCGCCACACGCAAAGGTTATGCTTATTTTTTCATGATCTTATAAAAGAATAGAGATCCTTCCATTAAGCTCTCCTCGGGTCAAATAATGGAGTCACAAGGGGCTGCCAGGCTGCCATGGAGATATGATCCACAGACCTTATGAAAGAGCTAGAGGCCCTTCAGGCTTGGAAACAGAAACCAACCCCGTTACAAAGAAGCCTTTTCTAATTCCCTTACCTTAAAAGATCCAGGATTCAAACACAATCAGAAGATTTTCTATTTCTATGGTTTCTCTTACGCTGTTTCATCTTTTTTAATGAAAAGGTTAAAAACTATTCCGTAAAATAAAACAATGAAACACTCTCGAATACTGTTTTATTCAATAACCAGTATAAATTAAGGTAATCTTTGACAAATCTCTGACTCTGTGTCTGGCCACTTAGAACTCAACCCTTATGGTAAAAATAGAAATTTAGGCCTGGATCACACAATGTGCTCCTCCCCCTAAACTCT